CATACCTCCGAAATTTCCTTTTTTCTTGCTAAAGTTTTAAAGTAGGGTTTAATTCTCAGATCAGACTGCGCATTGCAGGTTCTGATAGGCTCAAAATAGGTTCTGATAGGCTCAAAGTAGGAGTAAGAAAAAAAGTAGATGCTACTTTGTGACGCTGCTATACGTCCGAAATTTCCTTTTTTCCTGCTAAAGTTTTAAAGTAGGGTTTAATTCTCAGATCAAACTGCGCATTGCAGGTTCTGATAGGCTCAAAATAGGTTCTGATAGGCTCAAAGTAAGAGTAAGAAAAATAGTAGATGCTACTTTGACGCTGCTATACGTCCGAAATTTCCTTTTTTCCTGCTAAAGTTTTAAAGTAGGGTTCAATTCTCAGATCAGACTGCGCATTGCAGGTTCTGATAAGCTCAAAATAGGAGTAAGAAAAAAAGTAGGTGCTACTTTGACGCTGCTGTACGTCCGAAATTTCCTTTTTTCAAAAATTGAGGTTCAATGTAGACGCTAAATTTCGACTCGGGCGAAGGAACAGAAAATTGAGAACTTTGCGATCCGATCCGGAGGACGCGATTCCTCATTGGGCCGAAAGGAATTGAAATAATTTCGTTAAATAAATTTTCTAAGCAATCGATAGGATTCGTTTAATATCAAATATATATATGTTCCTCCTCCATTCGATCGTCGTGAGTTGCAATTGTTCAACGGAGAGAGTAACGGCCTTTCCGCAAAGGACACACAAAAAGAAAGCAAAACCTCTTCTTTCCGTCGATTCTCGCGCAATGAAAGAGGAGCTTAATCTCCTCCCCAGGGCGGGCGGGGATTACGCCCTGGCGAACGAGCGACTATCATTTATCGCGAAATATCGCGCGCGCGCGCGGTTTCACGACGACGACGCGACGCAGAGTATTCCGCTCGACATTTATCGCGGAAGAAGACCAAAAGAGACGCGCGATGTGTTCAGCGGCGCGCGAGCGATCTTCTCGTTTACAAAAAAAACAGAAAAAAAAAAACCCGAGACTCATCGCGCACCTGGCGCGACCTGCCCCTTCTCCCGTGTGTGTGTGTGTATGTAAAGATTCGTGAGAAATATCGCGAAAGCGACGTATTATACATATATATATATACATTTCTCCTCTCCGGGACGAGAAGAAGAAGACACCGGCGCTTCTCTTTCCGCGAGAAGAATTAACGGATCCGTCCATTAAGATTCCTTCGTTCTTCACGCTTCGCGCGCGGCCGCTGTTCGTTCGTTCGACCGCGAACATCCTGCGAATATCCTCTCCTCGATGTTTCTCTCTCGAACACGAACACGTTGCCTCGGTGGCATTCGGACACCCGGTATTTCCGGCCGCCGTGCGCGCCGGTCGTGCTTGTTGCTAACTGCCGACCGAGGCAGCAACGGTCCGAAGGACACGGGTCCGTGTGCTCCGGTGTGTATACGCGTGCACACACGCCGGTCGGCCCACGTGTGCGTATCGGCGTGTTAACTTGGCTAAAGTAGAAGGCGAAGAGAGACGAGAGAGAGAGAGAGAGAGATAGAGAGAGAAAAATAGGGATAGAGACGCGGGAAGAGAACAAACGAGAGAAGCAAACGACGGGAAAGGAAAGTTTGGGCCTCGGGGAGCGAGCAACCGACCTGAGGGGCCCCTCATCGCTTCGATGGAGGGAGCAACCGTCTAGGACGAGAGCGGAGGACTTTCCTCACTTTGAAATGGCGCTAGGCGCCATCTCTTGGAATTTGTCGCACCGAAGTTAACATTCGAATTTTTGAGAGAGAGAGAGAGAGAGAGAGAGAGAGCACGTCGTCAAATAAAATCGAGGCAAAACCGTCGGATGAATAGAACCTGGCAGAACCCAAGCAGAAAAGGAAGTGTAACCGATTTGGTTTGTGGGATGCTTCTCTCTCTCTCTCTCTTTCTTTCTCACGGCAAAGTTCGCGAGACAAATCGACGGGAATGGAAATGAGAGAGTCAGCGAGTAGTTCTTGAAACTTGCGAGTCTATCTTCCCCGGTTCCATTTATCTGTCGCTCCTGATATATGTAAAACGTACAATGTGTGTCCTGGAAAGCCTCGGGGGCCGATCCCCCAAACGCGCTGCTCCTTTATTTTCCAAACCTACGAAATTTTTCTCGAATCGAATACATTTTTTTTTTTTACGTCAAATTTTGTCGTTCCTTTTGCAAGTATATATAAATTAAGGACTTCGAAGTTCCTAGACTTCGAGACCCAATCGCGAGACGAGATAGAAGAGAAGGTTGGGCCTGTGAATGAGCTTGTTCACGACTGCGAGTTCCACAGAACCCCCCC